ATAAACGTTAAACAGAAAACTGATTAAACAGAAGTGTGAGACGGTCGAGAATTTACGCCAGTGTCCTGTTATATTTTAGATAGCAAAGAGCAGACTGCCGAGTTTATTAAACTCCACCGACACAGTGGTGACGCAAATCTGAAGGCTAGACCGTCCCATTTCACAGCCTCACACTTCCGGCCTTCTCGGTCTTTGAAGGACCCGGCCCACGTAGACCGCGAAGGCCGGGTCCTCCGAAGGATGCAGCCGACGTTTTGGGACACAGCTATGGTCAGCATCCTGACAGCCCAATGGACGAAGCTGTCTCTCAGTCTGTGTGTTCTGGCCCGGAGGCTCTTCAGTATCCTTCCTGATGGCAGCAAACTGAAGGGATGAGTGGAGTCACCTGTAATAGAGAGGACCTTCCAGATGAGGCAGGTGCAGTAGATCTCCTGGGGAGGGAGGCAAGAGAGGTCCCCACAATGCTCTCGGCTGCTCTCGGCTGCTCTCACTACCCGTTGTCATTTTTTCCTGCAGAACCCAGTGCAGGAGTCATACCACACAGTGATGCAGCTGGTGAGGATACTCTCAACTGTGCCTCTGTAGAAGGTGCTCATAATGGGGGTTGAATCTTTTGTGCTTCTCAGTTTGCAGAGGAAGTAGAGTTGCTGTTGGTCTTCTCCACATTGAGGGACAGGTTGTTGTTGCTGTACTACTCTACCAGATGGTTAACTTCACCCCTGTAGTAGATCTTGTCGTGGGTCAGCAGAGTGAAGAGAAGGGGGCTCAACACACATCCTTGGGGAGCCCCCGTATTCAGTGTTCTTGGGCTGGAGGTGTTGCTGTCGACCCGTACGGTCTGCTGTTTTCCTGTCAAGAAATCTAGCAGCCCGTTATACAGCAAGGTGCTGATCCCCAGCAGATCCAGTTTGTGAATGAGTTGCTGGGGAATGATGGTGTTGAATGCTGAACTGAAGTCTATGAACAGCACTCTGACATATGAGTCTCTAGTGTTCAGATGTGTGAGGGCTGAGTGAGGGGCAGTTGAAATTCCATCATCAGTTGAGCGTTTTGTACCACCACTGGTTCGTATGCGAACTCAAAGGGATCCAGGTTGGGGGAAAGCGATAATTTGATTTGATGCATGACTAACCGTTCAAAGCACTTCATAATGATGGAGGTGAGTTTGACAGGACGGTAGTCCTTAAAGCAGGAGGTAGATGACTTCTTGGGTACAGTAATGATGGTGGAGGCTTTGAGGCATGTGGGAACAACGGCCTGACCCTAGTGATGTGTTAAAGATGTCTGTGAAGACATTTGTGAGTTCCACAGCATAGTCCGTCAGTGCTCGTCCAAGGATGTTATCAGCACCTGGAGCTTTGCGTGTACTAATTTTGGCAAGGGATCTCCACACACTGTCTGGGGATTGTGTCACCACGGTCTGTAGAGTGGGCTTGTAGTCTGTGATGGTTTGTATTCCTTACCACTGCCTCCAAGTATTTCTGCTGTCGCTGAAGCTTTGCTGTAGCTTATGCCACGTGACAGGTTTGCCCTTGCTGTTCTTAGGCTCACCTAATTCCCGGCTCTGAAGGCTTGCATTTTTCAACCTTAGGAGCATTTAAACCTGACCTGTGAGCCATGGTTTCTGATTGGCCCGGACAGTGATAGTCCTGGTCTCTGTGACATCATTGATGCATTTTGGGATGTAGGCAATGACAGTTTCTGTAGTCTGAAAGTCTGTGGTGTTGTCGTGTGTGGCAGCCTGTGGTGGAAAAGCAGTCTTGCAGTGCCTCTGAGGACCCTTCTGGCCACACCTGTACCTGCTTACGAACTGGTTTGGTGACTTTGACCAGGGGCCTGGGGGAACCCATGGCACACCTAGGTTTCCGCCTGTACTGACCCTTATGCAAAATAGGTGGAATTAAGACACAGTTCCAAAAGCAAACACAACTGATCAGTGCTGAGAGTGGTCCTGTTGCTGAGGTTGGGGTGATCATGTAATCTCTTATGAACTACCTCCAACGCTTCCGTGACTGGGATGCAAGTGAAGACAGATGTAACATCTCTCTCTCACTGTACATGTACTGTGTATAAAATTAGAGAAACATAACCTGCACAAACAAAATAATTTGCAGGACATGTCTTTGACATCAATTTTGTTCGATTTGAAGAAGGTAGGGGGGCCAACTTCACTCACATGTGTTTATAAGGTTGGGAAAACCTGCAGTCAGCTGAGACTGAAGAAGTCACTTGGATGAGTGACGAAACGTTTCTCCAACTGAAAATGTCCAGATGAACAGAATCAACCTTTTGGGACTTACTTACCTGGATGATTAAACATGCATCAAGATGTTATTTTATTAATATCTTTAAAATGATAGCAGCACAAACAAAAATTTTTGCAGCACAAACGTAGCACAAACGTTTGATACCACTTTTCTTGGATTTGGGTAATGTGGGGAGGCTGGTTGACCTGTGATGACCTCTAGAAATTTTTTATTAATATCTTTAAAATTATAGCAGCACAAACAAAAGTTTTTGCAGCACAAACCAGCACAAACGTAGCACAAACGTTTGACATCAATTTTGTTTGATTTGGGTAATGTGGGGGGGCTGGTTGACCTTTTGACCTTTACATTTTCATTAATATCTTTAAAACAGAAGCAGCACAAACAACAATTTTAGCAGCACAAACCAGCACAAACGTAGCACAGTTGATTGACACCCATTTTGTTTGATTTAATTAATGTGGGGGGGCTGGTTGACCTCTGATGACCTCTAGAAATTTTTATTAATATCTTTAAAATTATAGCAGCACAAACGAAAATTTTTGCAGCACAAACGTTTGATACCACTTTTGTTGGATTTGAAGAAGGTGGGGGGGGCAACTTCACTCACATCACACCCTGGGCGCTTACCTGGGAGTATATTGATTACTCCCAGGGGGAGTCTGCTGAGGCTCCACCCCTGTCTGCCACACCTGGATTCACATGACAATATGTGAATCTTTAATCAGCATTCACAATAATAGATTTGGATGTCAATACTGTGAATATTAAATTGGCATTCACGATAAGAAACTTTTTGTCCTACAAAACATATAGTGGGACTGTTTGCTTTGCAACAACCCCATCAATAAACACTGACACTGTTGTATTAGCACCTATACATCCACACCACAACATTGCCTCCAGACAGTGATTTGGTATGCTTCGGATCATGAACTTAGCAAGTTAATGTTGTTTTCATAAGTCCAAAGAAATTATTTCCCTTTTTTTTTTCTATTCTTTTGTTTTATTGAGATTTTTCCTGAAATCGTGTTCTTGTGTAACCACTGTTTTGAATATCTTTGTAAACCCCTCTCATCATGAAGGTATCTCTTGACTGTAGACTTGACAATGATACACCGACTTACTGAACACAGTTCTTAACAAGATGTTTTGGGTTTATTATGAGTTTTGAGGTTGGAGATCCGCCTTAACGCTCCTTAACCTGCAACAATCTCATATTGAGAATTCAGTGAAAGTTCAACATTTGGAATTAAATCTTGGGCTCCAGATCTTCTCAATGATTCATGATATCACATAGGAACAGGCTTGGTTCTCTCTCAATTACATTTGAGCCTTTGAAAATGGGATACTATGCATAATCAGAACCAAAATCAGAATTATGTTTATTGCCAAGTTTTTACACAGATGAGGATTTTTTTCTCGATGATATGGTGCAAAAAAATAGCAATACAGAAAATTGAATATTTGGTATTTACAGTATATATAATATATGCATCTTTATATAAATACAATAAGAATATATAGTAACTTCTAGTTTTCCAATATCTCTGCTGCTCACGCTACATGTTAGTCTGACATGACATTAAAATGTTAGCTTTAGATTTCCAAATTGCCTTGGTCATGAGTGGATTAACCACCACTAGAGGGAGACAGAAGACTGCATTTCATTTAGTAGTCTTTGAAATTTTCTCAAAATTTCACTGAATTATTTTCATGTAATTTTTTACACATAGCAATTAACAAATGAAATGAAATATTTAAGTCAATGATCCAAGACACTGTGTCCATGATGATGTGTTAATTGATTTTTCCAGTACATATACTCCTGTAACATGTTGAAAAACTTGATCTTGATGAGATGGCACATTTTAAGCCTGAATTCTTTTTCTTTTTCTTTTGTAAAGAACCACATATCACACAAGGTTCATTCAAAGCTCATCTGAATGTTGGTGTTTGTATACATCTCAACAGATGAGCTGTTACTTACAGAGTTCAGGGTCTTATGGTGGAAAAGTTTGTAATTATGCGAGCTGCTCTGGATAAATCCTCTGCTCCATCTGAGTCTCAGTCCACAGAACCTCACAGTATTCCCAGCAAACAGATGACTTCACCTTATAGAAACCTTTTAGAACTATTAATTTATCTTAGCTGTCATGTTTTTTTCAGTAGGTAAGTTAACCAAAGTTATTATTACTGAATCTAAACCTAATTATCACAATAGTTTTTACCACAAACTTTGTCTTTATTAGCTTTATGACATAGTCCCAAGGGAACAACAGAATTTCAACCAATTAAGCTGTAAATAATTTATTTCCTCTAAATAAATAAAATAAAGTAATGATAATAACGCTAATAACGGCAGCCAAGTGTAATCCTCTGGAACACAACTCTGTTTCCATTATTACAGGGGTGGTTGTAGCTTAGGTGGTAGAGCAAGAGCAGGTCATCTAACCGGAACGTTAGTTAATGTCAGGTGCACCGACACTCTAGCGCCTCATGAGGGCAGCAATTCGTCTTTGCGAACGTATTTGTGACGTCATCCCGTGTAACTTCCTGTAATCTCGGGTCCGTTCCTCAAATCGTCCGCTGTTGTGGTTCAGAAGGCCAAGTACCGACGTGTCGGTCATTTCAAAAACCTTAAAGGTAGAGAAACAATTTCCAAGTTATTTTATGACAGTGAATTGTTGATTTGGCGTCATGCTCGGTTTATATAGGATGGGATATAGATACAGCAATTTAGCTAAATTGAAATGTGCAAAAGTCCTTGACAATGTGCGCTCCAAATCGGCTGCTATTCAGTGCTAGCTCAGTTTAAGAAACAGGTGAGCTTAGCAAGAATCGCTTACGTTCCGTTTGGAAGGCAAACCTAAACTCTGCTAGTATTTATTGTGTATTAAATGATGGGCAGTTGGTTGTCAATTTGTCATGACGTGTGTGTTTTAGTAGTCACCGTCACTATCGAGTTCTGCCGAAGTACTTTTATTTCCAAATGTTGATATTGTTATATAATCTAGAAAGGATATGTTGCATTGTACATTACATCTAATATTAGAAAGTAACAATACAGGATTAATAAACGTTTGCATGCATATTGTTTCATATGGCATAACTTACCTGTGGCCCCCCCCATAAAAAAAAATAAAAATGAACTTTAATCTGTTAATATTATCCACGTTGTGTTCTCTTTCAACTATTACACTTAATGCATAAACTTTGATGTCTGGTTTCAGATTTAAGACGTGATGGCTGCAACACTGCGTGTACTTTACTCTGCATCAAGGCCAGGTATGACGGCCTTACATTCTTATACACTCAACAATTCAGAGAGCCTTGTTTGCCACATATCCTTTCTTACTTCTCACCCCTGTCATGTATTTATGTATACCAGGGGTCCCCAACTCCAGGCCTCGAGGGCCGGTGTCCGCAATCCAACACAGCTGATTCAAATGGCTAAATTACCTCCTCAACATGTCTTGCCATTCTCCAAAGGCCTGATAATGAACTAATCATTTGATTCAGGTGTGTAGACCCAGAGTGAAATCTAAAACCTGCAGGACACCGGCCCTCGAGGCCTGGAGTTGGGGACCCTTGATGTATACAGATGTCGGTAAAGTTGCAGCCTAGCCCTAGCACAGAATGAGAGTGAGCATTATCACATTAAATGCTTTTTTAAGCTTTAGAAGTAGCAGGTAATGTCAAACACCTCAATAAGGAAACTGTAGTTTTGAAGTTTAACTCTAACACAATATTTCTGCTACCTAAAGGTAACGTTTCTGTTTTTACAAGGAAGTTATTGTGTGATAAATTCATTCTTACAAGTAGAGAGAGATGTAAGAAAGAGGTGACAGGAGAGGAAACATTATTCTGTTGCTGATGTCATCTGGGTATTTACCATAAAGAGATGTCTTGAAAAGCAAAGTGATTTATAAACATTTCATTATTCAAAGTCAGTGTTGTATGACAACAATAGGCTGTTCACTTTATTGGAATGTAGACTAAGTTGGTTTGTTTGTAGTCTTGTTGTATTATTTAATGTAAGGGATTATATTTGACTGGTGTAGATTAGGTTGTGATATCCATAACTATTGCTAGGTTCAGTGAAGAGACAATAAAAGCTAGTTAGTTGTTGTTTAATGCTGATATTTAAAGCAAACAGTACAAGCTTAAAGTGCTTTTAGTGCTCAGTAGTAAGGCAAGAATAGAAAACAGCAATATGATTAGCAGTTCATTTACCATCACAAGAGTTTTAAATTTTTCTGGACAGAAGCTAAAAGTGAGAAAGATTTATACTGTGTGTTGATGGAAAATTATATTGTATTACTCCACTCTAGACTGGTTCCTGTAGTGTCAAGTTGACTGCATTGTAGTAGGTTTACTGTTTATCTTTTCTGAAATGTTTTTACCTTCAGGTTTTTTTGTGGCCAGCCAGAATCTAGCAAGGTCCTTCAGTCTGTCGGCACAAAGGGACGGATTCAGTAAGTGCTGCTACAACACAACTCAATTCAAGGGCTTTCAGAGGCTGTACCACGATATTTTCATTCACACATGGACTTCAGACAGTTTTAGAATTTAGTTCAGGATGTTTTCCTTAGTTGGGCTTTCCTCACATTCTTACATCCTGAAGAAGGATGTACTCAGCTTCAGAAAAGCTTGGACTACTGGAAATACTCTGTGTGTTTATGTGTTCTTTCAGCAAAAGTCGACATCACACAGATTTCTTTAGTAGGGTCAGGATTAGGGCTGTTCGATATAACAATATATATCGGATGACAATATAAAAACGTCTATCGTTTCTTTTTACACTATTGTTTGTTTCATGGTATCGCAAAATAAACTGTTTACGGCAATATTTTTTTCATGGTTTTGATGGTCACTGTAGTGGCTATATTAATTTCTTAAAGTTCTCTCTTTCTCTTATATTTAATATAACCACACTACGGACAGACAAGCGCCTGTTTTTATGCGTTGTCATTAGCAACAATGACGGTAAAACCATTGTGTGTCCGCTTGTTTATTTTCTACATAAACCTTTCACAATAAAGGTCAAGATCCTGTTGAGACTTTTCAAAATAAACTGAATCACATGAAAGAGTATGTAGAGTATTTACAGATGAGAAGCAACAAAGAGCCGTCAGGTGCTAAAAAATAAACCTTAGACTCAAACGTTAGAACAGGCTTTTCCCCACAGCACGCCGTGTAATAAATACTCACAAAGAAAACGGCGTCCGTTACAACTTGTGTCTAAAAATGTATCGTTTCATGCATTGGTTAAAACACTCGACTCCAGGTACACGACACCCAGCTGGAAACACTTCACACAAGTCGAGCTGCCCAAGATTCACAGAGTTTACAGAAAATGTTAAGTTTTTGTGATTTATATCGTTATCGGGACGATAGATGTCTTATATCGGGATATGAGATTTTGGTCATATCGCACAGCCCTAGTCAGGATTAAAGAACATTTAAAGTCCAATCTCACTGAGAGGTAAATGATGTCATTCTCACAGGTACCGCTGTCATGTCAGGTCCAAAAAAAGTTCAAGCCTGCACTGCCTTTGAAAACAGCTTTGGTGACTTTTAGGAGCTTTAGTTGTTGGACCTGTCATTTTAATTTTGATATGATACCTAAAGCCCAAATATGCCACAAATTGGTATATGAGGAACAGAACAGCCTGCACTTGACAAAAAAACAAAAAAGATTTATGAATTACACTGATATTTTACAGTTTACACTCATGTAAATTGGGCGTATTACCATTATTTTGTTTCGGCTGTGTGTGTGTGTGTGTGTGTGTGTGTGTGTTCCTTTCGTTCTCTACATAAGAGTATGTGAATGCTCAGGAGATCCCTGTCGACATGAAGTCCATCACAGACAGAGCAGCACAAACACTGCTGTGGACAGAGCTCTTCAGAGGTCAGTTGAATGTTTCTCTGTCCTGTACAAATAATTGGATGTTTGTGTTTTCCTTTACCAGTGGAAGTAGTTGGGGTACTGTCACTTCATGGAAAATGTTCTTTGTATTTGTTATCTTACAGATGAAGATAACATTAGTCCCCCATGATATTTTAATGTTTTTGTCCCAGTAAGTTGATTCTGTGCATCTGGATGTTACATTTCAATGGTAAATGGTTTGAAATAAAACCTCAAGCAGTTAGCAGCAAAACTGGGTCTGGAACGTCAATTTATCTTCCAACACGTCACCGACCTAAAACATAATTCAAAATAATAATTGGCAGGAATACCAGAGGAGCGAAAAACCAGCTGCTGGTAGACAGAGCAGTCTCCCGAGACTGCAAGACAGGGCTCACCAACCTGTGCACTGGCCTGGATTGACTACAAGAAGGCCCATGACTCCATTCCCCACACTTGGATCCTGGAATGCCTCAATCTGTACAAGATCAACAGGACCCTAAGAGCCTTCATCAGGAACGCAATGGAGATGTGGTGTCTGACTGACTACGGAATGGAGCAATTGTCAGCCACCTTCTCTACATGGATGACATCAAGCTGTTTGCCAAGAGTGAGTGAGACATTGATTCACTGATTCACCACCAAGATTTACAACAGTGACATCGGAATGTCATTCGAATTGGAGAAGTGTAGTCGGATGGTAACAGAAAAGAGAGGGAAGGTAGTCAGAACTGAGGGGATCAAACTACCAGAAGGCAACTTTGCAGACATTGAGGACAGCAAGTCCTGAGGAGTGAGGTGAACGGTAATAACAAGATCCGGGTTATCAACACCTACGCCCTGCCCATGATCGGGTACCCTGCTGGGATAATAAGCTGGCCAAAGGAGGAGATGCAAACTGGACCGAAAGACAGCACAGTGTAAAGATGCCCCTGAGACAATCCAGCACATAAGTAGGGTGCAAGATGCTGGCAGGCAGGGCACACATTGAACGCCATAACCAAGTGGCCGGCATAGTATACTGTGCCGAGTATGACCTGGAAGTCCCGAGGTCAAAATGGTGGTCCTGTAGGACTTCCAGATACAAACGGATAACCTGGTGATAGCTAACCAACTGGACGTAGTAGTGGTAGGGAAGCAGAGGAAGACAGCCGTACTGATAGATGTAGTGATACCAAATAACAGCAAATCAGGAAGAAGGAACACGAGAAGCTGGGCAAATACCAAGGGCTCAGAAAAGAGCTCGAGAAGATGTGGAGGGTGAAGGTAACAGTGGTCCCAGTGGTAACTGGAGCACTCGGTGCAATGACCCCCAAACTAGGCGAGTGTCTCCAGCAGATCCCAGGAACAACATCTGAGATCTCTGTCCAGAAGAGCGCCGTCCTAGGAACAGCAAAGGTGCATGACCTTCAAGTTCCAAGGCCACTGGCAGGGGACCTGAGCTTGAGAGATAAAAGATGGGGAATTTTTTTGATACAGATGCATAAAATTTTCATGGAGGTGTTAATAATTGTAAGTGTTCTCATTTGAAAATGTGGTTTTATTGTAATGCCAGGTCTAGGCATGACAATGAGCTACCTGTTCAGAGAGCCTGCCACCATTAACTACCCGTTTGAAAAAGGACCACTGTCGCCACGCTTCAGAGGAGAACATGCGTTGCGCAGGTGAGGATGATTATTTGACAAACACCAGTCAGTGTAATATGATTCGTAGCAATGATAAGATGTCAGAATAATAAATTGATTGGTGCTTTGAGATAGAGATATATATATATGTCTGTGTGTGTGTGTGTGTGTGTATGTATATATATTAGGGGTGCAACGATACTCGATGTCGATATTGAACCGTTCGATATAGTGCTTTCGGTTCGGTACGCATATGTATCGAACAATACAAA